TAGGTCAACGACCTTAGGTCAATCTCCGTAACATGTAATTAACTTGTTTCGCTTTTTCACGTACGTAACATCTATTGTCTGAGTAAATTTGGCTCCCTTTTTAGCCCTAAATATGGTTGTAGTGGTCCGAAGATGAGTCATTAAAACCAATTGCTCACCAAATGGTCGCGTTGTTCTCGCTAAGGAAAGTTGAAATACGCCTAGACCGAAAGCCATTGTTGGAATTCGAGGGGAATCAAAAGCAATAGACCGAATGTCATCGTTCCGTATGCTTCACTGGGCCCGAATACCTGCTGGTAATCGGTACCAATTAACATCTCCACGCTAAGGAGAATCGGTGTGAAACGCTGTCTGCTGACTACCGTTACGAGAAGTTCCAAGCCACATATCAGATTGGGGAGAATTGGTGCAGGTGATATCTTGGTTGCAAGATTTGCCACTGACAATAACGGGAACACGGATTTATCCGGAACTGTCAAATGTCATACAATTTTGGCCGGATAGAGTAGATGAGGGTCGGAGGGCATTTTCATAGTCCAAGAAATGAACCGAGCATTCAGGATGGTTGTATCAGACTAAATTAACTACAAAAATGTGTATATTTCCCGACTGGTGGGATCAGTTCCCATTTGGGAAACCATCCGTTGTACAGCGAGTTTCGTCATTAATTTTCCATACTTGTATTCCATAATGATGAGTAACACATTTGTTTGTAAAATATGCAGTGAGTGACGGGCAGGAAAGCAATTTAGTTAAATAAAAATTGAACAAGCACCTCATGCTTCTCATCGATGCAAAAAGCCGTTCACTGGAAGGGATAGATCAAACAACAGTACCACACCGTAATTTTTTCGCGTCCTCACATACCGAGCTTGAATGACTGTGAGCATGAATTTCATGTGTGATTGAGTTACACAATTAATCCAAAACCTATGCTGATTTTTCAAGCACGACATGCAACACTGTATTTTCCAAACAGGTGATAGGTGCAAGGGCGGAAAAATTATGTGGCTGTGCACCAGAGCGTGCTTTGCGGGTGATTATTTAGTTTACACGCTTTATTTATACGAACTATTTGTCAAACACCATGAATACCTTTTTCAAATGCATCATCCAGGGATTGAGATGCCTCAAATATATTAACGCCCTTTTGAACGGACAGATGCCTAGTTATCACGAACGTGAACAACATGTTCTGATGTCTTTTGGTTATTTGTTCCATATCTTAGAATAATATATTAGAAATAAACACTTACTGTTTCGCGGTGCACATCAGAATGGTGACATTCTATTCCTTGTTGGGAATACTGTGCCTGTCGTTCTCAGACAGTTGAGCAACCATTTCGACACTGTGCGAGTGATGTTTATGATATTAAAAAGAAGGCGCTGGTTCACCTTCGATCGCTGAAGCCAGACTGGGTCAAGTCCAACTTCGATGCAGCGCGCTGTGTATGACATTTTTGAGGAATAAGCGCATAAATTTTGTGAAGCGTTGCTGGACCCTATCGAGAGCATGGTCGTCTGACTTTCGAAGAAAGTGTCTACATGTATAGCCTATGGTCTTCATATCCTTCAACACTTGGAAGCAGCAGTGTGCAGAAAATTTAAAGGTGACATAATATCCCGCACCCAGTTCGCGATATGTCCTGTATTGCGAAATGCGTGTGCTAAACAGTTTGGCGGTAATGGACATATATACGGAGAGCTAATACAATTGTCTACAGCGTATGACATCTGCCACAAGTGGCACCAGACATCAAGTGTACTGTGGTCTTCCTGATTGAGACGTATGCATTCTCAGGTATCTGCACTTCTGGACCGTCGACGAATTTGATGTCATGAGCAAACGAATAGCCAGTAGCATGCGATATGCTGTGAAATACATCGTTTGGATACAAAAGGAAGATGTGATGTCATGCAACATAAGTCTGTGCAAAGCGGATCCTCTGTACCAGTAGGTAAGAGGCGGAAATACAACAACATTTATGTTCGTCTTGGATTTATGGAGTCAAATAATTGTACACAAGTTGAATTGTGTAACAAAGTTCTACTGAACATGGTGCCTATTAAAATGTAGCGGTATTTTGAAAAATTCAAACGGACTGTAAAGACAGAAAAAAACACGTACAGCGCATGCGAGATGAAATATTAAACACCCAAACGTACATGCTTCACGCGTCGCATAGTGTAAAAAATAAGCTACAGTAGCATCTTACATAGTTAGTTATCGTAATCCGCTGACAGCAGAACCGAGAAACGTATCCAGCCATGCATACAAAATGCATGGTGACCTAAGACTCTTCCTTTTTAAAAGCTTTTCACAGACTGTGTCTGTGTGATTTCTTATGCAAAGCGAACGATGTGTGGCTTGTCATATTAGAGAGCTAACGCTTTGCTTCTCCCATTTGCCACAACAGCTGTGTGCGATTGCATTCTCGCATTCTATCTATACAAACAAAGTAGCGAAACAGACCTGAAGCGTAAAGAGATCCGAGGTTATAGCTTTCCTCAATAACACCTAGCATCAAACAAGTCAGCGCTGCATGTCGGAACAAATTTTATCCAAGTTACTAAGCCTTAGTATAGTCGCATATGTACGTAAGTTCAACAATCTTCAATTTTGCCAACATAAATGAACAACTGGGCAAATTCAGTGTACAGCGATGAATTCCACCTCATTCTTATGTTATTAAAGCCTGGTTCTGTGGATAAGGAAAGCTCAGGGGTCCGTCGTGCTAGGTTACACTACAAAGGGGTGCACGTGCCGAAATGTTTGCGAACAGCTGCTCTATAGTGACACACGGCATCCTGTTGGCCGACGGTGTCTGACCAATGAGGATGCTACTCGTCGGTGTGTGTGTGCACCTAAGCCAAACTTTGAAACGCACCAAATTGAAAAGCTTATGAACGAAGTTGAATATGCTTACGAACCGATTTGTTTCCTCTATTAACTCAGCTAACTCGGAAATGGTATTTTTCATCTGAGCTTGTGTTAAGTTGCTTTAGCTACTCTTGCTGAGCACAAATGTTTTATATTCGATCCATATATAGGCGAAACATTACTGGTTGTTGAATTTCATATACGAGTTTTTTAAGTGGAGCAATGAAATTATTCTCTAAACGCTGTCTGAATGGACTGCCCATTACAACACCACCTACCTTTCGTTGAATTGAATTTTAGTTTTTGCCTGTCTGTTTCAGGGTTGCGCTGGTGAATACTGTGATAATCTGCATGCCGGTTTTAGTCTTTCCACTAAGCTAGATATCACCCAACAGTTCTACTAATTCAAGCGTCGTATTAGGCTTGAGTGAGCATTGAATTCTTAAATGCTTCCATTTTGAAAACAGCGTTTTGCCAGCTTGTTTTCCGGCCAGTTGCACATAGATAAGATGGGTCTCAATGGGACATCCGTCTTGTGAAATTTCAGCAACCAGTTAAGCTGAGGTGTTTGTGCATTATTTGCTCTTACGAAGTTTGCTGTTGCAGCAGTAATGAAATTACCTCCGAAAGAAGCTTGCCATTACGTGTATATATTGCGTTATACTTCTGCCGAGTTGTCAACGCTCTTGCCCTGTTGAAATTTTGTGCGATCAATTATGATCAACATCTCTATATCGGTGGTTTCGTCTGGTGAAAGATAACTATTTCCCATCCAGTTTTTATTTGTTTTATTATATGTATTTTTCGATTCAATGTGTAAATGCATCCGTGAGCCTCAGTTCGGTCATACGAATTTTGATCAACCAACTTGGCATTCAGCAGAAATTGCTTTAGCCTTTGATATTGATATGAGGCCAGCAATATTATCGTAAACTGCTTCAAGCTGCAACTGCTTTCATCTATGTTTTTGCTTAATCCAATTTAGCATAGTACATTTTGGGTAAATATTTGTTTATCTACAATGAATCATCCACGGGCCAGTACAAATCCTATAAGGTTATTTTTTGGGCCCCGAAAAGTGACCGTGTACGGATTTTTGTTTGCTGACACCCGACTGGTGATTTGTTTCTCTTAACTGCCGTGCTTCCCACAGGGATTTTATGTACAACATGTGGAGATGTGCTCAGTTAATAACACAGTTCCGCACTTCACTAATTTCTCAATAATTTTCATTTAGAGGTTGGCCACTTTTATGATATTTAAAGGATATGTTGAGACTGAGACTGAGACTGTATTTAAGAGCAAGTAGAAAGGTTTCTGTACAACTCTATCGAATTACGAAAAATCAAAATTTACTTGGGAATTATCAGCAGTTGTGTCTGGTCCGTTAATCGTTTATCCGTGTTCAGTTAGAAATTTGTACTAGCGTCATTATTTCCGGAGATACAATGTCTTCTTTTGGCACTGTATGTGCATCGTTTCACAAAAGCACAGGTTTCCAAAATAATCGTCGATATGGGTTTTAAAACACTTCACAGAATTGGCCTATATTAATCCTTCTGGTAGTGTATTCCATAAGTCTACGATTCTTCGTTCGATACAAAGCTGATGTGATACTTTGTTCATGCTGGGGACCCTGAGTTTGTAACGATGTCCTCGGGTGTTACAGGGTTCTCGCAGGTGAAATATTGTCCGCAGTATGGGGAAGTGATTCAAGTGTAGTACTCGATGGGTCATAATAAGATCAATTCTTACTCGGCGATAGGATAGTGTGTAGAGTCCGAGCCTTTCAAAACGTTTTTCATACGGAAGCTTTCGTAGACTTGGTATCATTCTAGTTGCGACATGTTGTATTTTCTCCAGTTTTTCAGTTTCCCATTGGGTTATCGGATGAAATATTTCAAACAGATACGAACTCAGGATCTTCAATCATTCCTTATGCATTTATTCATTGACAAGAGCGACATTGCTGAGTGACAAGTAGCGAAAAAGAATTATAGTTTTAGGCAACAAGGTTAAATGAAATGTTATTTTCAAAAGCAGCTCGAGATGAGTTTTGTGTTGGCAATTTATCGCAGTAAGTGAATACTTCTACTTCCCAATCTTGAAATTTTAACAGGTGGACGGGCATAATCTTTATGGGCTGAGTCATATAAACGCGGCTCCAATCATCCGAGCAGTTTACCTCGAAAAATTGCACTCAAGCGCTCGTTCGTTTGGAAACTCACTCACGGAATCCATTCGCTTCGTAGTGCAACGGTATGATGGTAATTGGGAAATGATGGCGGTGCACTTGCCTATTCCGATGGAGGTGAGCTTTATGTTTAGATGTTGAGCGACGATATATTTATTTGTGCACTAACGTTTCCACAAAGTACGTGTGGTGCATAGAACATGTTATTTCCTAAACAATGTGTCGTCAGTTTTACTAGCACAGGATTTACAAAGTAAAATAACCAAAGCATAATATCCTGGCAATCATAAAATTTATCACGCCTGTGGTAATTGACTAATGAATTCGCTTGATCATTAAGTATTTTATCTATAGTCACTTTTTGTTTGGGTTTATAACACAAAGAAACCAAGCCAAGCGCAGCAAATAACATTTAAAGATTCCGGAAACTTAGCACACAAAATTCTGCCGCTTCTACTACTTATCGAGAAAAACAGTTAATGGAGAGTAAATTTTCCTTATAATCCTAACTAGAAAGCTTTATACATTTTTGGATTAATCTAAATTTCTCTTTGAAATTTGAGACCATACGGCTATTAGAAAAGTGCTTGTTGATGAATATCTATTATGTCCCTGATGCGTCCTCAAATAAGTGCTTTATTCGTGGTCACCAATAAAATATTCAGTCAAGCTTTAGTTTGAACGGCGTGTATGTGGTTTGTTCATTTTGCTTTAAGTTTTATGAATTTTACAAATATAATCTGTTATATATTTTATTGTTTTTATGGGATTAATTTTTATAGCTAAAGATATTTGATTTTCTCACAGATGAGAAGATTTGTGTTTGATGTAACTTCACTTTCAAAAAGTTTCTATTTCTGTCGACGAAATATATTAAACCATTTTATTAAAATCAAGACTAGGGTACTTTTGTCCTTAGTCAAATATAAGAAAGGGCATGTGGCTGCGTTAAAATGCTTTTTGCTGCTACACACTAATATAATGAACGATGTCTTGCACTGATATAACGCACATTACCCAATTTTTTGTGAAAGGAAAGCGCAAACTGGAAAAAGTAACGCTGAGGTGGTTTGCCGTGCATAGACAATGTTATGATATGCAGATATATTTTTGATATAATATAAGCTGATATCGATAAAGCTGCTATGGATAAATTATATAAATTCATTAACAAGGTAGAACTAATCGAATCTACCAACAATGGTAGAAAGCAAATCTCCAGGGATTTAGACAAAACACGATAATTAAGTGATCTTACATACCACAAGTAGTCGGTGCACTTTAGTTAACATAGTGGGTTTGGTTAATCGTAAACAATTGTAACTGTACGCCGTAATGGCGCTTCGCTGCCGCGCAACCACCACCAGTCGCGCGTGGGCTGATTATACCGTGAGGACGCCCACCCCTACGCGGATTCGAACCGGTGACTTTATGATTGTAAGCAAACTTGCAGACTACTCGTCCACCGGCCTTCGCAACGGGACTGGACTTTAACTGTCGCAACGAGACTGGACCTTAACGTGATGCGACGGTTTGCGTACCCCATTGACCCATTGAGATATACTGGGTGATGCCTCCGAGCATCTTGAGATTCACTCCTACCAGATTGGTCAATGGTGAGAAGTCAGACAAACTCAGTAGCCTTGTCCTGCAGGTTGGAGCTTTGAAATGAGATAGCGTCCATTTCTGTAAAACTAAATCACTGCCACCCCGCTGCCTTGCGGACAGGCTTTTGAACCAAGGGCTTTGGATGAGGATTCTAACCGTCCTCCTGTCTAGGTCTAGGCGCCCTAGCAGCATCTCAGCCCACATACAACCATGACATTTTATTCAAACATAAAATTCATCCTGCATCGGCCGTCGCGCAGATTATCAAGGGTCGCCTTATCTGCTGCATACAGCGGGGCGGAAATCGAAAACATGCTACTGCTGGCTCCTCCCTTCTTTCATTTTCACCTGTTTCTCTTACTCCCATCCCGGTCCCCATTACAAACTTTCCTTCTATAATTCCCAGCTTAATTTACAGCAACCGAAGTGCCACTGCAGTAGCACCACCTGCAGCCACCACCCCACAGCACCTATCGTACGCCTATTGGCGAAAGTCCCTTATAAGGCCACGCTATCCCGTTTCCATATCGACATTCAACGTTCACCCTCTAAGACAAACAGGTCAGCAGGCTGCACTCGCACGCACCTTGGACACACTGGGTGTTGATGTGTGTTGTGTGCCCGAAACTAGGATCAATGACCCTAACGGGGTTATTGAATTGACTACACTCGGCAAATCCTCTCGTTATTGGTTGCACGCATCCGGAGACGCCGATGCAGCACTCACGGGTCAAGCTGGTGTAGGTATCATTCTCAGCTCCAAGGCTGAGTCGTCATTGGTTGATTGAATTCCGGTGAACAGCCGTTTATGTGCAGCCCGTTTGACGACATCAGCTAAGGTGAATTCGCGGAGTAAAACGAAACATTGTTTGTTTGTGATTTCCGCTTATGCTCCCACCGACTGCAGTTCAGTTGTTGCCAAGGTCACATTCTATGACGAACTGAACGCGCTATTACGCAGTGCTACTAGTTCAGATATTATATTTCTTGCAGGGGATATGAAGGCATAAGGCGCCTGAGCTCTTCAGAATCTCAGTTAAGTGGTAATTGTGGGCTTAACTCCGAAGGGACTGACAACGGTGAGCGTCTGCTGCAACTGTGCGCGGACCACCAGTTGTTTCTTTGTAGCACTGCTTTTAGACAGTTTGCCCCGAAGTGCCAATTGACGTCCTCCTGTAGCTGGTCAGTGATGGACCCAAATCGACCACATAGCCATAAGTTACAGGTGGCGTGGTTCCATCCTGGATAGCCACTCGTACTGGAGTACCTGTGTCGACTCTGATCATGCCTTGGTACGCAGTCGTTGTAATTGATAAATTGATAAATTGATAAATGTTATATTCCTCGGTGTTTCGAGGTGCAGTCCAACTATGTGGTCTGATCAATGTGTACAACAAGATCGCAAAAATATAATCAATTTGTTCACGCTTTTTACAGTGGATCCAAAAACAGGTACTAAACTAACTGGCAGGATTAAGACATTAAAGAAATTAAAAAGCAGGAACAATAACGTAAGCAAATTTAAACAGATGTCCAGTTAAAGTAATACGGCCACTCGTGGAACCATCCCCAGGGGACCTGCTTCCATGCAAGGTATTCCCTCGAAAGGTTTCGCTCGCACTTCTATGCAATAACTGGCCGTGTGCCGGTGTGGCATAGTAGCATATGAGCCATCACCTGTATATCATATGTTTTGTTCATTTTAGAGCTGTTTTTGAACATGTATTATGGGCCATGAAGGCTCAGCCCAGTCCGTCATGCGGATCATTCTATTATGGCACTTTTTTATACGCCAGACAGTTGGTGGCAATTTGCCTTGCATAGGTAACGTCTTTTATAATCTGGAAGCTGTAATCCGTCACCACAGGAGATCAGCCCAGTCGTGACCAACTATGAAATAAGGAAGAATATAGAAAAGAAGAATTCTGTGAAAGAGGTACCATATCGTTAATGTAAGAAATAGGCAGGTATGTTTTGTACATCGGCGTAGAAATCGATCGAGCCGATCATACGATAAATTGTGTAGCGTGACACCCGGAGACAGATGACTGTACAAGTTGTCCATAGGCAAAAGTCGCGTAGGGAATCAGTTATTGCCATAGTTGAATTCAAGTATATGTTTCTGGACTGTTAGTTTCAGAAAAGAGGGGGAAATGATTAGCACTGGAGAACAAATGTAGCGAAAGGGATCGCAGAACAATATTACGAATTAATCAATTTGCGGGGAAAATTACGAAAATAGCTCCTGACGTCACACCAGTAAATAAGTTTGCTCTCGGTTTTAAACAGAAGACAGCTGATATGAATTAAGTTTAAAGGGAGTAAAACCGCATAGAATGTAGCGTTAAGGAATAGCAAAAGAAGCGGTTTGTATCAGCTCATCCTAGCTGATCAAGTTTTCTCTGGTGCAGTAGAGTTGATGTTCTCCGGTATCATATATGATCCGGCCCTTCTTCATACAGTTTTTCATCATCAAATTGAATGTTTAAGATCCATTTCGCTCTGTCCGTTGACAGATAAGCCTTTATCATTTTCTTGAACATGCAGAAATGTTCAATACATTTAATTTCTTTTGGCAGCTTATTCCAAATGGAGCCATACCTAAGAAGATAGAAATTTCTCCTTAGACTGCTCTTGAATTTAGGTAAATAGAATATGCATTCTTTATCTCGCAATTCATAAGTGGTGTTTTCCCGAAAGTGCAATTGATAGGTTCCAATATATGCTTTCCGCCACGCGAGTTTGTGGAGGAAGCACAGATTTAGTTGCATTCTTCGTAACCACAGAGGTTCAAGATTCAATTGCTTGCACCTATCTCGGTATGGAAGAGCGGTTGAACAGCCAAATATGCGCTTCGTAAAGGCGCGTTGGACGTTTTCAATGGCTCTCAAGTCAGCCTTTCGCAAGTTACTGAACACAGCACAACAATATTCAAGCAAAGGCCAGATACTGATTTTGAAAGCAATTAGTCTGGTTTCTTTCAAGGTTAGCAGGTGGCATATGAGCCCGACCGACTGCTTAGCCTTTTTCACTATATGATTTATATGTTCGCTAAAGTTTAACGAACTAGAATATCTTAAACCTAAGTCACGAACAGACTGGCTGATGGGAATGACTTCATCATGAAGCCTGAACACTTCTGCTGCTATCTGACATCCATACGATAGAATACTACACTTCGATGTTGCAAATGTCATCTGCCACATATCAGCCCATCTCTCAATGGCTTCCAAGTCGCTTTGGATATTGTTAACTTCAGCGGTACGCTGAGAACCTGGGAACGTGTAGACCACCTTTAAATCATCAGCAAATAAATAAGGCTTCCCAAATTGTATGACAGAAACCAGGTCATTTATATACAGTAGGAAGAGCAACGGGCCTAAGACACTGCCCTGCACCACTCCACTGGTAACCGGACGAGGTGAAGAGATGTAACCATTGATATCCACAATTTGCGACCGTCCTACAAGGTAAGATTGGATCCAAGAGTAAAGCGGGTTTGTAACACC